TGAGACAGAGCCTCAAGCTGTCCCCCTGGGTAGAGTGCTGTGGCATCACAGCTCACAGCAACCTCCAACTCCTGGGCTCAAGTGAGTCTCCCTCCTCAGCCTCCCAAGTAGCTGGGACCACAGGTGCCCGCCACAACGCCCGGTTATTTTTTGGTTGCAGCCATCATTGTTGTTTGGTGGGCCCAGGCTGGATTCAAACCCGTGGCCTTAGGTGTATGTGGCTGGCGCCTTAGCCGCTTGAACCACACGCGCCGAGCCACTGGCTGCTTTCTTAACGCAACTAAACCCAAATTTGGAGTCTGGGTCTCAAAAGCAGTACTCATTATCAGCAAACCTATCATTCAACCTTTCACTCAAACCTGTCTGAGGGGAAGTTATTAATAGCTCCAACTAATAAAACATTCAAGCATAATCAGTAAGTCATTTGTTCAGAATGGAATTTCTACCTAGCAAAATAATCAGAGCCAATCCTCTGTTTTCTGTCCCATTTTAAACAACAGATGACCACTACAGCTTTCAGGACTGCATGTCCAATTAGATGACCAGCAATGATAACCATGTCTTAAAGAGCAAGCTCTCCTAAGACAGAGGGAACACGTTTGTTACAATGCTTAGAGGGATGGCAGTGGATACATGCATATTGTAGTAAAATGGACAAAATCCAGAACACTAATGAAAGCAAATGCTGGTGAGGATGTGGAGCAACAGGAACTCCCATTCATTGCTTCCACTTTGGAGTATGGTTTGACAGTTTCTGACAGAACCCAGCTCTTACCACATGATCCAGCAGTTACACTCTTTGGTATTTACCCCATGGAGTTGAAAATTATGTCCACACAAAAACCTGTACATGGCTGGGCAAGGGGGCTCACGCCTATAATTCTCGTACTCTGGGAGGCCAAGGCGGGTAGATCACCTGAGTTCAGGAGTTCGAGACCAACTGAACCCCATCTCTAAACATAGCTGGGTGTTGTGACAGATGACTGTAGTCCCAGCTACTTGGGAGGTTGAAACAAGAGGATCATTGAGCCCAAGAGTTTGAGGTTGCTGTGAGCTATGGATGCCATGAGATTCTACTGAGGGGGACAAAGTGAGACTCTGTCTCGAAAACAAAACAAACAAACAAAAAACTGCCAAACTTAGAAGCAAGCAAGATGCCCTTCAATAGGTAAATGGATAAATAAATTGTGATATATCAGCTCTACAAGGAGGTTTGGCTCTTTGTAAGAGCTGTAACACTTATACCCTGCTCTGCAAGGTTTGGCTCTTTGTAAGAGCTGTTATAATACCTTTGTAAATAAAACCTAACTTACTGTCCATCCTGTGGTCCAGTGATTAATTCATCGAATCATCGAGATCAAGAGCCTGGAAATCCAAAGTCAAAAATCCAGTATCACTGTCACATTAGAGACAGCCACTTGACAACTCAAGGATTCTAAAACTACATTTATGACATATTCCCAAAACAATATATAAAAACAAAATGTTTATAAGAGATCATCCAACTGGTGTTAAAGAGCTTGCCCAAATTCATACATCAATCAGTGGCAAAGCGGAGATTTAAAACCAGGTCTATCTTACCACAAACTCAAGCTTTTCCCACAATAATCAACCACCTTCCTCATTTCACTATCAGTATGCTTATGTCATCTTTCTAATCTAATCTTGATTGCTTTGCATTATCTTGCATATTCAATGCTATAAACAGGGTATAGGCTCTCAGGGGGCAAGGTGGACGATATTTTCCTCCTTTGGTTACTTCTCTCTGGGACTTCAATGTACTTTGCCAAACCATCTTTCCCACCCAGCTACCGTCTTTCCCCCAAAATAAGACACTGTCTTATATTTATTTTTTCTCAAGAAGACACACTAGG